CAGCAGAAAACTGGAGCTCATATCTTGACTACGTAGCAAAGGCATCAAAGCCACTGAAAATATATTGAAACACGAATTGGTCCGATTAGTGAAAGAAAACAATCCCAGAAAGCCAACCTATATATTGGATGAAATCGCTGAACAATATAGCCATACGATGCTTAGATTGCCAACATATCAATATATGTATGTATATCTAAGCATCGTATGGATGCAAGGCAATACCATCGAACGGATTTGGGCTCATGTCAAAAGTTTTTTTTCCGTCATTATACTTAGTACCTCCGTTTACTACATAAATAGATACTAAATTGTTTTTTATTTTTTTAGGGTATGCAGCCAAATATAAGACATCTAAGTACATCATTTACGGTAATAAAATGCTGACTTTATTGAAAAATGCCTGTGATAACGTTACTGCGCATGCCATACCATACGGTTCTTGCCACCGTATCAGTGCCATCGAACGGATTTGAGCTCATGTCAAAGGTTTGTTTTTTGTCAATATACCTAATACCTACGTTTACTACATATATAGATACTTAATTGTTTTTTTATTTTTTTAGGGTATGCAGCCAAATATAAGACATCTCCACCATTCACGGCTAGGAAAATGCTGACTATATTGCAAAATGCCTGTGATAACGTTACTGCGTGTGACCGAAGAAAGTCCTGGAACACTCAAAAAAAATTTTCTAGAAGATTGCGAGATGTCCACTTTGACAGATTTTGTGAAGAAGAATTAATAATCAACGTAAGTAACAGTTTCAGTAGTGAGCCTAGTAATGATGATGATAATAATGAACTTGATTTAGGTTTTGCACCATTATTTTAATAATAAATAACTTTAAACTAAAATTACTCGTTTTATTTCACACAAATCCCTTTCACAAAAATTGTTTCGACTCGCACGTTTTCTACTAAATAGTCCGACTGACCAAATAAAAATATGCGAGAGGCGAAATAGTTATTGGTTTGATATTTTGTTATCGTATTAATAATTTATTATTAATTAAATAGATATGAAATTGTTCAAAATTCCAAATCCATACAGCATAAACATGCAACTCCGAAAAATCGATTGCAAGTTTTATGAGAATAATAATCGAATACATTCCTTAACGTGTATACACCACCTCATCCTTACAGTGAGCTGTTATAATATCTAGCTAAAGTAGACAGAGCTTAGAGTAATTACATACACACGTATGTTTAATAATAGAGATGAGATGACAGTGTGACAAAATATATAGATAAAAATTTTATACTCCGGCCTATGTACCTATATGTCCATTCTATTTATGTATCATATTAAAATAATGCCATACAATAATCAAATGTATCAATTAATACCTAGGCCATAGACGCGAGCTTTATATCGCATATAAAACCAAGATTGACGTTAGTCCGTCTACGTTTTTATTCGTAACTACAGAACGAACCCGTTCTGTAGTTATACAAAAAAAAAAACAAACAGAAAAACATAAGAGCACGGGCTAATGAAAAAGTGGAAAAGGTGTCTCAAGTGATAAAAAATCTTGAAAGGCTTCCCTCACTTCAAAATAACATTCGTGCTGTAATGGTGTCTAGTTCAAACGATTTGTTGCAGCATCTTCTCGAAAAGGTGATTAAGAAAGAACACTTCACACACTCAACACAGCCCTTACTTTACACTTTTATAGCTCTAGGGCTTACAATTACATGAGAACAAAATTTTACCTGTGCTTACCACATCCTCGAACACAAAGAGTCTGGTACTAAAATGTAGGCTGTAAACCCGGCATCACTAAGAAGGCCATAGAAACCATAAATGCTATAAGAAAAGAAAAAAAAGATTTGGTCATCGCCCTTACGTTCGACGAAATGTCTATCCTTGAGCACATTGAATTTGACGGTCAAAATCATCATGGCTATGTTGATGTGGGTAATGGTATTTACGGAGATCAAGTAGACAAGGCTAAAGAGGTATTAGTAATCATAGCAGTGGCAATTAATTCTTTTTGAAAAATCCCAATTGCTTATTTTTTTGGAAGAGGCTTTACTGCTTCACAGAAAGCAACGCTCTTAAACAGTTTATTGCTTCATAATCAGATTTTGTAAAAGTTTCTTCTGTCACTTTTGATGGCATAGCATCTAATATAAATATGGCACAAATACTAGGGGCTAATTAGCACTTTTTTGCACCGCTGTTGAGCACCGCTCCATTTAGACCGTACTTTTACTATATGGGATAAAAATATTATATAATATTAGATGCATGTCATTTACTAAAGTTGGTTAGAAATAAATTCGTATTTAATAATTTATTAAATACGAATTTCTTGAAAATCTATGCCAACTTCAACATGTTGTCGGTTTGCATTTGGCAAATAAGGTAACTAAAAAACATGTCAATTTTGTAAACCACAAAATGGATGTACGGTTAGCAGCGCAACTGTTAGGTAATTATGTTGCAACCAGTTTAGAGTTCTTCAAAGACGTATTAAAATTACCTATGTTTGAAAATTTCCAAGCAATTGCAGGTTTTATAAAGTATATAAACAGCATATTTGACATTTTCAAATCCAGAAATTTTCTCAGCTACGGATTTAAGAAGGCCCCAAATGCAAAGAATGTTGAAAATGTTGTAGCTGAATGTAACAAAGTCTGTGAATATATTAAAAATTTAGAATGCAACAACCAAGCTTTGATAGAGAGTCGAAGAAAACTTGGTTTTATCGGTTTTTTGGCGAATACAATAGCTTTAAAGTAGCTATATGTCGATTCTATAGAGTCAGGAAAATTAAAGATTCTTACGACCTATAAACTCTCTCAAGATCATATAGAAACTTTTTTGTGCAGTACGTTCTAGAGGAGAAATTAACAACAATCCTACAGCCAGACGATTCACAGCAGCATACAAACGATTAATCTGCCACGTGGAAGTGCAAATCAGCGATAAGGCTAAATGTTTGCCTTTGGAGAATATTGGTATGCTCCCCAACCTACAAAGATCGTGTACTATAGACACAGTAAATACTACTACTGGCCTTAGTGCAATGACAGCGCCAAACGGTGATGTGGCTATTGGCCCAGGCCAAATCGATAATGAAGATTCTGATTTCGTATCATCTATGCCATGGATTCCTGAAGGCATGGAAGCTGTAGTTAAGTCCATTGTTCAGTAGATATTTGGTTACGTGGTGAAAAAATTGCAAATAAAATTTAATGCGAATCCTGTGTAAATGCACTTTATGGTGAAGTTAGGGAAGGTTCACTTATAAACATGAAGGATAGGAAGGAAGGAGGTGGCCTCGTTTATTGCTCTCCAGACGTTTATGAGATAGATATTCATTCTGAACGCGTTTTTCAAAAATATATGAAAGGAAAAAATGTAAACGAAAATATGTTTCAAAAATTAGTAAACGAATGCCTTGTGTCCTAAAAAAAGTATTTTGACATACTTGACATATGTATGATTCGCCAGCAATATCAAACCATAAACACTTAATTATTAAATTATAAATGGAGATTTATTTGATTATTAGATTGAAGCATGCAGCAAAATTGCAAAATACCTCTAAGGAGATCTTACGACATTTTTACAACAAATTAGCCATACACTGCATTCAGTTCCATAAGTGGGTCAACCAATAAAATTGATAATTTTTCTGATTTGAACCAGGTAGCGGCGTCTATGATTATGGAAAGAAATTGACAACCTATGTTGATAACAATCGTAGACAGCGAAACCTATAGACAAATTGACGCCTTCTTTCGCATTCGCACACGAAAACGATGGATTTATGCATACGTCTTGCATAGAAATGAGACAGAGCGGTGTGATTGTTTGTCCCTTTCTCCGTGCCAGTTTTTTTGTTTCGCAAACTACACTTTTCTAAACAACTTTGACAGTTCGTAGCGATCTAAGGAGTTTAAAAGTTGGTTTTAGTGAGAAAAAAGTGTTTTGTGAGCTTAAGATTGGTGAATCTTGTTCAGTCCAGTTCTTAGAACAATTAAAATTTTTATCTAAATATGTTTAAAAGTTATAAAGATTATTGTATAACCTAAAACTACGTTGTCGTCCTTTCTCACTCGAGGCCACGCTAATCATTAGTCTATAGGTTTCTCTATCTACGCATTTAGTGAATTCGTTGAAATTAGATAGCAGCACTATCTCTCTCAGTCAGTCATTCAATTGAAAATTTTGAACGTTAGCCCTGCGCCGTGCGTATTCAATTTGCAAAAATGATAAATAATTGTTGTTTACGGAATGCAACAGTGGATAAATGGTTTTTATGTCGAAATATCCGTAAACTAAACAAATGTAAGTATATTTTTCTGATTTGGTCGTGTTTTGATACTAAATTTTCAAAATTTCTGTGCGTTTCCAATGTGTCACTTCATGCAGTGATGATCCAATTTTAGGTATGTTGACAAATGGTGTGATGTTGTTTTCTTTTTAGATAATGGCGAAGAAAACCTTATCCAGCGCTCAAATTCAAAATTATTTGACAATACCATCAGGCAGCGAAGATTAACAAGACTCCTCAGGCGCTAAAAGTGACGATGACATTGCCGTAATTCGATCTATCGTCAACAAACTTTGTGAAACGTTTTAGCGATACGGATGACGAAGAGGAATCTGTTTCACCGAATGGGTATGAATCCGCTTCACCATTATCAGGGTCCTGTGGCGGTGATATGCAGCAGCATATATCAAATCCTAGTGGTACAATTCCTGATGTCCCAAGTACATATACATCAACTGCTTCGCGAACACGTCAATCAACAGTTGTATCTTCCGCGTCTACTGTGCCAAAAGACGCTGCTCCTACTTTTGCTGCATCCGTCGTCAGAAAAAAGCGAAATATCATCTGGAAAAAACCAGCTTTCCATCCAACAAACCGGAGTTTTGTGGGCAAACCGATCTAGAGCCACTGATTACTGAACTTGAAACTCCATTGCAATATTTCTTGTACTTCTTTGATGACAATTTTCTAAGCCAAATCGTCGAAGAAATGCGTAAGTTTAGTGTACAGAAAAACCCATCAAAGCCTTTTTCTGCAAGCGTTACAGAGCTGAAAAAGTACATAGGTATCTGTCTGCTAATGGACATTGCCCCACTGCCGCATACTCGAATGTACTGGGAAACTGAATTTCCTAATGAGCCTGATTTAGGCGCAAGTGCCAACATTGTTATCCGGCTTGCAAGGTCTATTCCCAGGGATAAAAATTACAAATTATTCTTTGATAACTACTACCCATACCCTGAATTGATTACGTATCTTGCCAATGAAGGAATATATTCTATGGGAACCGTGAACAAAGCACGACTAGGCAAATCTATACAAATACCATCAATGAAAGATCTAAAAAGTAGCAAGAAGGAAAGAGGATATTCAGAGGAATGTGTGTGCAATGTAAATGGCACAGATATCGTCGCAGTTATGTGGTACGATAATAAACCAGTGGTGTTGACTTCATCTTTTATTGGAAAAGATCCTACTCAAAAAGTAAGGAGGTTTTGTAAAAAACAAAAGAAATATATACTCGTAGATATCGATTGCCCTCAAATTGTTCGCAACTACAATTAGCATATGGGTGGAGTTGACTTGCTCGACTCATTCCTGAAAAAGTACAAAATAAAGATGAGGACAAAGAAGTGCTATTTGAGACTGTTTTACCATTTCCTCGACATAGCCACTATAAATAGTTGGTTGCTATACAGAATAGTTGGGGAGATGCGACAAAGAGCTATGCCGCTGAAGTTGAAAGACTTCAAGTTTGAAGTGACAAAGAGCCTCTGTATGTGTGGTTCATCAATAAATAAGAAAAAAGGCCGGCCGACTTCGGCAAGTAATGATCTGATAGAGGCAAAAAGAATGAGAGCTTATGTAACGATTCTTCCTACTCGTGACGTCAGGAGTGATGGAGTCGAGCACTTTCCTATATGGGGACAGAAGCGCCAGCAATGCAAGAATCCATGCTGCAAAGGAAAGTCATTTGTTGTGTGCAAAAAATGCAGAGTCGAACTTTGTTTTAACAAGGTTAAAAATCGCTTCCGTTTGTTTCACCTCTAGATCAAGTTTAGGTAGGTCACTGCATAATGTGCCACATATGGAACTAAATAAAAAACATTTCTCTCTCTAACTATTAGTTTTTTTTTTTAATTTACCTGTACTTCCCCTGTTTTAGACCACAAACATGAACTGGTAAGATTTTTTTTTTAAAAAAAAAAATCATGCAGTGTATTGTTAGTTATTTTTGGTGAAAATAAAAATCTAACTTTTTGGTTATTGTTTTATTTTTATGCCCTCAAACATAAAGATAATCATTTTATGATAAGGACAGAGCGCTCTGTATCGATAATTGAAGTTGATGCATGGCACAGCACTATTCATCTCGCACACATGCGCATTTCACTCACACTGGTACATTTAGTTTTTGGTCTCATCCTAATCACTCCATACGGTTATGGCAGCCTTACATAGGTGTCATAAACATAATTACAAACTATAATGAACACTTCAGAAGACCGTTATTTGCTTTTGGGAAGCCGGGAGAATAAATCAAAATATAGGCAATAAATCACACAATGGAATTAATAATTTCTTCATCTTCATTAGCATACAAATCACTTTGGTTGGATAGAGTTGTTGTAAGGTAATTTAACTAGGTATTTTCTATTATATAAGAGGGGGCAAACAAGCATGTGGCTCACTGGATGGTAAGTTGGTAAGTGACCACCACCGCCCATGAACAACTGCAACACCAGGCTGGCACTGGGATGTCCCGATTCAGAGATGATAACAGTATTCCATGTGAGGCCGAATTTGCGCCTTGTAAGGTTGCAAACGGCATGAAATGCTAACTCACCCTATGAAGCACGAGAAGCTTTTTAGACGCCTATTTGGCCTTACCTTTCTAATAAAATAACAGCGGAACTGAACGACAATCGATGTGTTAACGCCGAGGATTCCGATGCTAGCTGGGGCAACGAGAGGAGTGCCTTGAAATAGAGCAGATACGATAAAGGGTTTCTTTTATAATAATAATAATAAAATATTTATTCATTGACCAAAAGTAATAAAATATTTAAAAGTTAAACTAATACAAAAATGATATTTTAGAAGGACAATGAAAGGGTTCTGAATCTACAACGCTGTTATTCTGTCAGCACCCATATACCTACTTAGTGAGCTAAAGTGTAAAGTACGCGTACATCACTGATTATATTACAAATAGCTTTTAGTGTTAAATTATTTATTTATTCATTCAGCCAGTACAAGAACTATATAAAAAACCAGTACAAGTTTTCATAATATTTCTATTAATAAATTGATAATTAATATACATGTACAAGAGATAAACATAATATAAACAAAATATAAACAAAAACATGAAAAAAAATATTAAAAGTAAGAGCTACAGTAGTGTTTTATTTATTCAGACTAATTATAATAATTATGCTAGAACAAAGTAATGGTTATTAAAAAGAATATTGGTAGTAAGTAAATGTAAATTACATAATTGCATATACCTAAATATGGGATGCCCCTGCCAAATTTTTTTTTATATTTATGACATTTTCTGCGTACTTAATAAATACTCTGTATTTTCTCTTAAAACTGTTCTTATTTGTTATGACTCGTAATGGTGGTGGAAGATCATTCCAACATTTTGTGGCCATAAATTTGTAACTACCACGAAATGCAGATGTCCTATGTTGAGGTATGCAAAGTACTATTGAACACTTTCAGATACCGTACATATGTTGATTTTATCTCCATTGTAGCTTTTCATATAGGTATTCTGGTTTCTTTGTTTTTATCACTCCAAATAGCAGGGAGGCATAAAATAATTTGAGACGTTCCTGCATTTTAAGCATATTAGAGGCATTAAGGTAAGGTGTAACATGTGTTCGTCTTGGGATGTAAAAACAGTAACGAGCGTAAGCATTTTGTACCCTTTGAATTAATTTCTAATTTCTAAAATTAAATTCTTGCTTAATTTCCGAAGCTAATGAGTGACGCGTGTTTTGTAACTTAGTGTCCAATTTATCGTCAAGCAATTTACCAAATTCTTCTAAAGAAAAAGTAGAAGTATTTTGTTTTTTACCTCCACGGTGCTCAAAATCCGAAGGCGGCAGTTCATTTACTTGCATGTTATCACTAGACATGTTAATGACATCAGATGGTAATGAATCCCCACAGTTAACTTTTACCGGTGTGTCGTCGTTTCTGGATCGCCGTTCCGTAAGGTTGGTGCAAGTAGGACATTTCCATGATCTTTTAAATTTTTGATAGTTACCCATAAATTTTGCAGATGTAATATTAAGGCACATATAATGATAGGTTCCTTTACATAAAATGCATCCCAATAATTCATTTCGTTCAATAGAATTTTCACATGCTGAGCATTTCATTTTAAGAAAATTAAAAAAAAATCTGTACTAATACTTATACACAATGATAGTAATTATTTATAGTAAACCCTCGTTAACACGAACACGAAAAAATCAGACAAATAGTTCGTGTTACAGGGGAGTTCGTGTAATCCGAACAATGCAAAAAATGAATCCGTGTTTCTAAACTCAATATTATGATTCATCATAGAAACATTTTTATTAATAACTTTGATATTATTATTTTATATTTACAATAATTTTTTATTATAAATTTTTAACTTAACATTATTTTTACATATCATTTAAAACTCAAAATTATTATTATGTTCATCAGACATCAGTTTATATGTACTCTTCTTAAACAAAGCCAAATTGTTAAGAAGCCTTTGCTTTTGTTAATTAGTTTTCAAAAGTTTACAACCTTTTCAATAGCTTTTGTAAGATGGAAAGAAACTTTGAGGTATTGTTTCTATTTTTAGGTACTCGAGTGAATGTTTGATATCCTAATCCTTTGTCTATTTTTAGAAACTCGAGTTAATAACTTTTCTAATCTCTTCAGCCATAGTTTACCGGAATTTGTAATGACCGAAAAAATGCAAAAAATATACAAAATACATGATTTGGGAATTTTTATAGTTCGTATTATCCGATAATTAACCGTGAAGGGACAAAAAAGTTGTTCGAAATTCGGATTAACGAGGGTTCGTCTTAACCGAACATTTATATTGAAGCTTATGGAACTATTGTCTAGAGCAAATTTTTGTTCGCCTTAAACCAAAATTCGTGTTAACCGTGTTCGCATTAACGAGGGTTTACTTAAACACTTTATAATTTGTTCAAACAACAAGTGGGTATTAGGAAAAACATACGCGATTCAATAATTGTAGACGAACCCTACGAGCACTTAGTGCTCGTAGAGACGAACCAGAACAATATACAGTATCAATGTCCACCGCACTGTGTATTAAAATTACGAAGCAATTCAATCTTTGTTCACACTACACTTTCTTTGCTTTTTTACTTTAATTTTAAGTAACTAACTTCTAACTATTGATATTTGCTTTTTACACAGTATAAATATAAACATTAACTGCAAAAATATTTTTTCAACACGGAGTTAATACAATACGATGTTAACTCGGCGATGTACGCGCGCTGTCCCTTTTTAGCTGTTAACGCTCATTTTTGGTTTGTAACATATTGTTGATATCCAGAAGGAACAGGGTAGGCGATAGCATGCAGCCTTGTGGAACACCAGCATTCACAGGCTTGGACTCGATGCACGCACCGTCGACTACGGCTTTAGTGCTCCGATCTGAGAGAAAATTGGTGGTTCAATTGCATTATTTCTCAAGAAGCCCATAAGGTGAAAGCTTTTACTCTAAGAGTGCACCACACTGGCAAAGACTCACCACATAACCATCTTAGATTCGTGTTAATAATTAAAAAATACATGATGAAGCCATAAAGTTTTATCATAAGCGCCATCTATTGGTGCGTTACGTTAATAACGTAAATTTTACATTAACGTTACCTTCATGGAGTATAGTGGTAGTTACATTGCTTTGTTGACGGTCAAGATCACTAAATTACCGATAGATGGCATGTACAACTATTAAAACAAAGAAAACATTTTAGATTAGACAGTTAAGAGGATAGAGTAAGTCAGCTCAAATTCTAATTTCGCCCCCCACTTCCCCGCGTCGTATGCTATGTACTGACATGTTTGTAATCAATAATACTGTAAGTAGATAGGTCGTTAGAGACTTATTTCATTAGGTTTATCACATTTATGCCTGTTTCTTGACGCCAACCCAATCGCTTCTTATTTTTATTACGCTTATTTCCCATTTTAATTCTACGTCGTCATGTTGCGTAATATGTATTCTGCTCGTAAGCGACACAACTTTTCCCTTCAAAAGCCGGAGCGATACTAACTTCCTATATATACTTATTATACTCTTTGATACTAACGGGGCGAAAGGAATCAAGCTTACGCGCCTATAGTTTAGGTAATTTCTTTTTACAGTGAAAATAATGGTATTTAAAAAAAGTAAATAACATAAGCACTGCTATATAGTTAGTTCAGTTAGTATGCAAAGTTTCATGATCTTATTTAAAGTATTTTATGAATAACAGCGGTTTATTGTTTATTTTGGAGGTAACTTTGGATTTTTTTTCTATCGA